TACAGGATCGCAGCCCTCGGGGCTGCGCCCGCACCTCGCTCAGCCAGTGAGCGGGAACCGGTCTGTATGTGGGATCCGAACCCTCGGCGGGAGCGCTGCCCTGCTCTCAAGCGGCGCACTGTAGCAGTGCGCCACCGGGCCGGCCCTCAGAATCTTAATCTCACTTGTTTAAAATTTCCTTTGAAGGAAATTTTAAAATTTTGAAAGCTCTGTTCATGTCTGCAGCTGATCTGGGCATAGTTTTGGTACTCACTGAGCAGAAAGTTTGCTCAACTACAATTTTACAGTCAAAATTGTGTAAGCTGGATCACTGAGATGTCTGTGGGGTTGACTGTTGTTTCTGCTATTAATCGTCAGTGCTCTTCAATTAGGGCATGAGCAAGATTAATTTTTTCCTTGTAAGTTGATGTGGATGGTCTGCTGATGTGGGTTCATCTTCAATATCGTCTTGTCCTGTCTTAAAACAAGTTATCCATTTGTAAACTGCTGATTTCTTTGGGGCATTGTCCCCATAAGTTTTTCCTCAAGCATTGATGATTTCACCATTCTTCCACCCAGTCTTTACCATAAATTTGATGTTTGTTCTTGCTTCAATGTTAGCAGAATTCATGTTGTTCAAACTAGTATCTTATCTATCAATCTAGATCCTGTTCACACATATTATAACAAGTTAGTACAGGTTGATTTTGGTGCAAAAAAAATTTTTAACACATGCATAGTTTTTTTATTGTACACATTTTCCATGAACCTTTTGAAAACCCCTCAAACCCTTTATAGGTGTGTGTATTTGTTTTAATATATATGTAGATTAACTCCACGTACCTGTGCATACAAACATAGGATACTTTAAATAACCTTATTGTTTTTATTAAAATTATGCATGCTCGTTATGAATTATTCCAGTTCAAGAAGTGCAAAAGAAAAAAGTAAAATATCACCCAAATCTTACCACCAAGAAAAAAACGCCATTAATGTGTTGGTGACATTTTAAAATACCAGTATAGGGCCAGCCCGTGGCTCACTCGGGAGAGTGCGGTGCTGATAACACCAAGGCCACTGGTTCGGATCCTACATAGGGATGGCCCGTTAGCTCACTGGCTGAGCGTGGTGCTGACAACACCAAGCCAAGGGTTGAGATCCCCTTACTGGTCATCTTTTTAAAAAAAATAATAATAAAATAAAATAAAATACCAGTATACACATATAGATTGTATCTTTTAACAATGATATGGTCATATTATATATATAATTTTCTTTTATACTTTTTTCACTTAATATTTATATTTTCCCATGCTATTAAAAACTTTTTCATGAAGATTTTTTCTTTTTTTTCTTTTTTTGTATTTCTTTTCTTTTCTTTTGTCTCTTCATAAACATTTTTAATGGCTACATCATACCACATTTAACATTCCTTTAATGAACATTTAAGTTTTCTCCCTCCCCCTTTTTTTTTGATGTTATAAATAACACTTCAGTGAACATCCCTGTAGAACACTCTTTCCATATTTAAAGCTATTTCTTGAGAGAAGAGTCAATAGCTCTCATTTTTATTGGATGTCCATTAAGCAGTTCCTCCAGCTTTACTTAACCGTTCACCTCTGATGCTTCCCTGCAGTATCTTTTAAAGAATGACTTTTCTTTCTTAATGACCACTATTATCTCTTTTCTGATGTCAGAAGTTCGTTGTAGAAAAGTTGGAAAATACTAAAAAGCGCTGTTTATTCTCTCTGCTTTTTATTTTTTTTCCATACAATCACCTATGTGTTTTTTACTATTGTTTTACAAAATTGAGGATACAAGAAGCAGATTGCTTTATAACCTACCTTTTTTTCACTCAACACCACAAACTGAATATTTTTTCATATTACAAAATATTCTACAATATGTACATTACTTTTCAAATGCCTTGCTGAAACAAAATTAAAGGCCAGAGAAATTGAGGTTCCCTATACTGTAAAACCGTTGTGGGAAAAGCCAACAAATTTCTCCTGACTTGCTAAAAATCCTCAAAACTTCCCCAATTGAAGTGGTACAGGGACAAAAGAGCATCTGACCCATCTCATCTATCCAAAAATGCTGCTGAGCCCTACCCTTCTTCCACCACTGGTGGGGATTCTGGGCCCCACATTTTTAAAGCAGTGGATGCTAGGTTGACACCATTCCAGTCACAATGACTTGTTAGTGAGACATGACATCCACTTTATAAGGAAGCAGCACAGCCTACAGTCAGCATCAAGACCTGCTGACCTACAGGATGCTCACACATATGCCCACACCAGGTTCTGATTAACTGAATTTATTGACCAGAATCAGGGATGTTTTCTGAAGTGAAAGCATGAGCTGTAGCCTCAGGTCTTTCTGCACTCTGGCAGCCTGGCATCACAAAGAGGGCATCGGCTTTAGGGTCACACAGATCTGGGTTCACTCACTAGCTGGGTGATATTGTGCAAGTTACCTCAACTATGTGAGCCTTTGTTTTTCTCTGTAATTGCCAAAATGTTACCTACCTCCTTGGGGTAGTTCTGAGAACCAAAGGAGAAAATGTATGTACAAAACACATAACTAAATGTTAATGTTGGGCTGGCTGGGTATCTCAGTTGGTTAGAGCCCAGCCTTATAACCCAAAGGTCATGGGTTCAGTTCCCCATACCAGCCAGCCACCAAAAAAAAAAAAAAAGTCATGAAAAATAAAACATCCTTTAAAAAAAATGTTAATGTCATCCTCTTCTCCCCTTCTCAGCCTAGAATGCAGTGTAGCCTAAAAGGCATCCCTAGTATGGTTGCCTTTTCTAAATGACACTGTATGAGCTCCAGGATCTCAGGACCTCAATTTCTATATCTGTGCATTGGTTATCAGCTCTGAAACTGGGGTACTTTGAGGATGGGAATAAAATACCTAAACTTCTTGTCCCACTTGCTGTGAATTTCCAGGGAAATTCACTTAGGGATAAAAAGACTGCAAGTATGCATCTCTAGTCTGTTGTAATTTGGCAACTCGATAGCAGAAGTTCAGAGCCTCCTCAGAGCATGAAAAAAATCAGGATTCAAGGGCCAGCCCGTGGCTCACTCGGGAGAGTGTGGTGCTGATAACACCAAGGCCCCGGGTTCGGATCCCACATAGGGATGGCCGGTTCGCTCACTGGCTGAGCGTGGTGCTGACAACACCAAGTCAGGGGTTAAGATCCCCTTACCGGTCATCTTTTAAAAAAAAAAAAAAAATCAGGATTCAAGTAGTTAAAACTGCTGAACAAAATAGCTGGTCTTTGGGCTCCCCCAAATCTTCCTAGTTTTTTCAGTTAGAGAAGGCATTCACCGTGATTCACACAGGCAGTGCAACATCTGCAAGTGTGATTAACTGGTGACACAGCCTTTCTTTCCATTCAATATACTCGAAAGCCTGGCACCTTCTGGGGTTTTGTTTTGTTTTGTTTTGTTTCTTTTTTCATTGTTTCTGTTTGAACTCTCTTACCACAGCTCTGTCGAAACGCCTTACAAATCCTTTCCTTGTGGCCTCCACCTTAGCCTTGCACCAGAATAGAGAGATGATAGACCCAGACAAGTTCTGCAGCCTCTGCCATGCAACTTTCAACGACCCTGTCATGGCTCAACAACATTATGTGGGCAAGAAACACAGGAAACAGGAGACCAAGCTCAAACTCATGGCGCACTATGGGCGGCTTGCGGACCCTGCTGTCACTGACTTATCAGGTGAGGGGGCCCAGCTCACACCCAGACCTGGAGCAGGGCTTAACCACTGGGGCTTCCTCTACCAGCCAAGACTGTGCTTTTCCTCCTTAGATATCTAAAGCAGGATGTGCAAATTCGGATGCCTTACAGAAGCCAGACAGGAAATTTAAATGAGTGAGAGCCAGGAAGGAATATGGTTAGCTGAAGAGTATATCCCACTCCTGGCCAGCTCTAGACAGTTGTTATCATATATTTCAGTTTTTCAAAAGACTCTGGAAAGCTAGATTGGTATAGGAATTCCTCTGATTTTTTTCTTTTTTTTTTCCTCTTTTTCTGTGGGGACTGTTGACCAGTACAGGGATTGAACCCTGGACCTTGGTGTTATTAGCACCATGTTCTAACCAGCTGAGCTAACCAGCCAGCCCTCTCTGATTTTTATCAGCACCACACTCTGCCTTTTTTTTTTTTTTTTTAAATGATGCCCAGAAAGGGGATCTCAACCCCTGACTTGGTGTTGTCAGCACCACACTCTCCCAAGTGAGCCAACCAGCCATCCCTATACAGGGATCCGAACCCACGGCCCTGGTGTTATCAGCACCACACTCCCAAGTGAGCCACAGCCTGGCCTCCCCTCTCAGATTTTTAACTATGCAACTAAATTAAAAACATTTTGGACCCTGTGTGAATCAAAACTGTCTACAAGCTAGATTTGGGCCAAGGACCACCGGTTTGTAACCTCTGATTTAAATTCCCAAAGTGTCATCCACATTTCTTGTGTGAAGGCCTCAGCAGCCTCTGCTAGATTTGAGTGGTCTCAGGGCATCCTCCCTCAGCATCCTCAGAGGCCTGCATGTACCCCTGAGATAGTGTGATGAAGAAGGAGACTACTCTGGCTCAGAGAATATTAGCTACTTCCCTGACCTCAAGATGTCAGTCAGCCTCTCGGGAGTAAGAATTCACAAAAAATTAGGGACCCTTCCCATCACAGTAATTACTCACAGCCTATAGTAAGTGTTTGCATTGCAGGAAGATTATTTTCTCTTCTATCCAGTCAGTAAATATTGAGTACCTACTGTGTTCCCTCATTGGGGTACAGTAGTGACCAAGACTGACACAGTCCCTGACTAATGGAGCCTATGTGAGCATTGATGTTGGTCCTTAGGGCTTCCTTAGGTGATGGTCACCCTCCCCAGTCTATGGAGATGCAACACCAGACAGTCAACACTTCAGGCTCCCACAGCATCCAGGTGTGGAACAACTTGGCTTCAGGGAGCCTGCTACTCAGAGTCATCTGTGCTCTTTCCATAATCATGAAGAGGGTGAACAGCCAGATGCCATACACATTCCAGACTACATGTGGGAAAGGGCAGGGATCATGCCTGTCTAATAACCCCCCAACCACCAAAGGCAGCCATACAACAGAGGCCGTGCCTGGACCATACCAACATAGATGAAACAGGTGGAAAGAAGCAGCCAGGAAGCAAGGGGGAGAAGACTGTGAGCCAGATCATTTAGCAATGTGTCAGGGCAGGGATTGCTCCTCCAATGCCATTGAAGTACACTGCTTTATAAACCTCTTCAAAATAGGGAAGAGATGATTGATATTTACTTACTGTTTCCACATAGAGGCAGTGAATTCTTTTAACAGAATCATTCCCATATGCTAAGGAATCTGGAAACTTGACCAAGTTGCTCAGAACCCCCTTCATGATGCCCTCCTTTCTTTGGCCTGCAATTGATAGGAACAACATGGTATGCAGCTGGCAGGACCCTGGGATCCCTTGTAGCTGACTTTTATTTCTTCACTCCAGCACCCCACACACACACACCCCTGCCTTTACGCCTCCCCATCCTGGTCATTCCCTCATTGTCTCTTGTCCATTGGCAGGACTCTGGCACTACAGTATTTTGGACTGCTTAACTTGTATCTGTTCTATTCTTTTATCTCAAGGCAAAGCCTCCTTCCTGTATCTGCCCTCCTCCTCTACTTGTGTAAGGCCAGATTATCCACACTTAATCCTAGAACTGTAATCTTGATCCTTTTTTTCTTGCTTAAGGCATCTGACTCCTTTACAGATGAGCCAAAATCTTTAATTCCTATAAATAGGTATGATTTTCCCACTTCACAAATACTTAAGTTGAGACCAGAGTGACTTGTTCAAGGTCATACAGCTGATAACGACCTTGATGTTGTGGGTGCTGTATTTAATCCTGACAATAACTCTGCTGTGAAACTTTGATTATCCCCATTTTACAGATGAGGACATTAGTATCAGAAAGATAAAGTGATTTGCCCAGAGTCCCACACTAGAGTGGCAGAACCAGAGCCAGCAGAGAATGGTTCCCAGAGAGCCCCTGCAAAGTGTCTCATGGCAAGTAGGGGTCAAATGTGAGTTGACCCAGAGTGTCCAGATCCCTCCCACCATGAGCAGATGTATCATCTACCAAGCCGATCAGACTTACATTTCTCTCATATTTTACCCAAGAAGGCCAGAACTAAAACCTGCATGTTATTCAGGCAGCCAAATTATTCTAGCACCCAGAGCTCGGAGCATGCCCCTGGGTTGTTGAAAGCCTCCCCTGCTTCACTGCATCACTTTCTCCCCCTGCTTAGGGCTTTGCCTTTCACACAGCAGACCTGCTTCTATTCCATCCATTAAATTTAGATACACGGAAGCCGCCATTGGTCTTGAAAGAGCTCATGCACACATGCATGCATGTACGCATATGTGTTTGGAATAGAGTAGATTGCAAAGTTATTGAGGGGCAAGGAAATGGAGAAACGTATAGACAGCTCTTTCAAGAGGATTGGCAGTAAAAGGGAAGAGAGAATCAAGGTAATAGCTACAGGGGGAAGTGGAATGAAAGAAAAACCTAACTTGAGACAAGTGACATTTTTCTGCTACAGGGGCTTTTCTAAATAAGCCAGATGTTGGGCCGAGCCCGTGGCGCACTCGGGAGAATGCGGCGCTGGGAGCGCAGCAGCCTCCCACCGCGGGTTCGGATCCTATATAGAGATGACCGGTGCGCTCACAGCGCTCACTGGCTGAGCACGGTGCGGCCGGTCTCAAAAAGGACAAAAAATAAAAAAATTAAAAAATAAATAAGCCAGATGTTGGGCCGAGCCCGAGGCGCACTCGGGAGAATGCGGCGCTGGGAGCGCAGCAGCCTCCCACCGCGGGTTCGGATCCTATATAGAGATGACCGGTGCGCTCACAGCGCTCACTGGCTGAGCACGGTGCGGCCGGTCTCAAAAAGGACAAAAAATAAAAAAATTAAAAAATAAATAAGCCAGATGTTTAAAAATCAGCTCTATTGGGCCGGCCCCGTGGTACACTCAGGAGAGTGTGGCGCTTGAGTGCGCAGCGGCGCTCCTGCCGTGGGTTCGGATCCTATATAGGGATGGCCAGTGTGCTCACTGGCTGAGCGCGATGCGGGCGACACCAAGCCAAGGGTTGCGATCCCCTTACCGGTCACAAGAAAGACAAAAAAAAAAAAAAAAAAAAAAAAAAAAAAAATCAGCTCTATTGACTTATACTTTATAAAATCACACAGGTAAACAAGAATACCAAACATGTAAAACTAGCAGATGGAAATTCATTAGTGTATACTGGACAAACCTGCTTTTTTAGAAGCACCAATAAATTCTACAGTTGCCCCAAATGATGATTTGAATCTAACTTATAGATCAGCAAATAGTATGCTGAAATCTTGTACCTCATGGGGGACATAGGTGATGCTAGAAACCTGTGGTATAGAGGGAAGAACAGAGGCTTCACAGTCAGGCCAGGGCAAGTACCAGCTCTGACCCAGTAAACCAGTAAACCTCTCTGAGCCTGTTTCCTGCTCTGAAAAATGGAAATAACCACCTCATTTGCAGAGTGGTTGTAAGAATCCAAGGACATAAATATACAAAGTCCTGTTACAGTGTCTGGTGCTTAGTGGGTTTTATAATCTGGACATCAGTGACTCTTAACTATTTGTGGTTGTCACCTCCATACCAGCCCCAGGTCCCTCTCCTGACCTTGGGGGGAGGATGGTTCTCCTAGTTCATTATGACATCTTTTCCCTGATAGTGTTGAACCTTGATAACTTGATGCCTAAACAGGACCTTGAATTCTGATTGCAATAATTTTCCCCTTAAATGCTTTAAAGGGATGTGTCTTCCAGGAAATACCTGAAGATACAAGGGAAACAAATGTAGCTGAGAACATTGGTGAACTTAAAGGCCCTAGAAGTCATGTGTGCAGCTGCTTTTCTTATACAGCTAGCACCTGGCATGCTAGAATAAGTACACTCTTTATAGTCACCAGGCCTGAGTTTGCCACTTACTAGCTCTATGTTCTTGAACATGTGACTGTGCCTTATTTTCCTCATCTATTAAAAAAGTTGTAATGATTCTCACAGGATCATTATGAGGGGCAAACAAAATTGTATGAAGTGCACGGCCTATGTCATGCATTTGGTAAATAGTCACTGTTTTTATTATAAATACTATGATTATAAGTTTTGGTATAATTGGTTTGAGGTTGAGAAAAGCCAAGGATCAGAGAGGGGAAGGGATTTAGCCAGGTCCCATGAAGACAGAGCCAGGAATCCAGTCCCATATCTTGTCTCCTAACTCACTGCTACACCATGTGGGAATAGACTACTTTGTCATTGGAGCAGCCCTGGTAGTGAGACAGGGTGTCTGTGAGCCCCAAGGTAGAAAGACAGATTGATTTTCATAGCAGGCATTCTCATTAATTACTATTATTGCAAGCCTGAGGAAAGTGGCACCTTCCCAGAGATCTCTCAGTGAAGGGCATCGTTAATGAGGCCACTTAGCACAGTCATGGTGGAAAAGTCACCCCTTTGTTCTGTCATTCTTTTATTTACTCAGCAGACAGCTACTCTGGGCCAGCCTGTATTCTGGGACTGAGGACACGGGAATGAGAGGTTCCCAACCCCAGGGAGCATGTAGGCACATAGTCTGTGCCTCCTGAGCACTGAGGCCTCTGGGATTCTCATTAGGGCCAACCACCTCACCTTGCCCCACCCATCAGTCCTCATCAGAAGGGCATTTGCACGCTCTCTGAAAAGTACCAGTCCCCAGGTCCTGTCTTATTGGATAACTAAGCATCTTGATTTTGATGTGTGTTTCAGCTGGCAAAGGCTACCCATGCAAGACGTGTAAGATAGTGCTGAACTCCATAGAACAGTACCAAGCTCATGTCAGCGGCTTCAAACACAAGAACCAGTGAGTAACCATCCTTTGAAATTCAAGGGTCTGCAGCAGGAACTCAGGATTCCGAGTCAGAACAAAGCCAGATAGTCCTCAGCTAAAATGGAATCCTGGCAACCTTTTCTCAGTTAACAAAAGATAAATCAGTTAACAGGAAAAAAGTGTCTCCTCTATCATTTTTTTCTCCCATCAGCCTTTGGACCTGCTGGGTTGAAGGTTTTAGTAGACAAGCATAGATGATTTCCTTGGTGGTCTCCTAAGAGTACCTGGATTTCCTGGCCTGTAGCAGTCTGACTAGGGAAGCATTTTTTTTCAGTCCCGAAGACCTTAGTCTTCACTGCTATCAATTCTGTGGCAGGAGCTCCCTCTTCAGGTCATTACCAAATATGACCAGGTTCTTTCATTGATCAAATATTTATTGAACATCTTCTAAGTGATGGCCAATACCGACCTAGTGTCTCCTCTCACAACCTTACATTTTGCTGGGAGGAGGCACTAAGCAAGTTAACAGATTGTTATAAGTGTGTTGAAGGAAACAGGTGAACAGAGAGTCATCTGTTCAAGATAATCTTGAAAATCACTGACATTCATTGAGCCCCTGTTCCGTTGCAGGTCATATGCCAAGCAAATTCTCTCAGGTAATCCTTACAAGAACCCTTGGAAGAGAGGGTTGTTAATTCTCATTTTACACATACAGGCAACCAGCATTCAAAGTGATACTGTCAGGTGAACGCATGATTCAAACTGAAGCCTGTCTAGCTCACAGCATGCTCCTCCCAGGGTATCATGCTGAGAAGGCGGTTGTGACTCTATATAACATGAAGAGGATAGGGTCTTTCTGGTAGGGCCCACATGGTTCTGTCTCTTCCTCTCTATGTATGGTATGAGCTATGTGCCACAACATAAGCTCCTGATAATGTAACCCTTTATAAATGACGAAACTGAGCTTAAGGCAGGCAAGTCTGCTGAAATGACTGCTTTGACTTTGGTGGTTGGTTCTGCATTGCCCATTTAGCCTAATTAAAGGTGTACAAAACAGTGTTGGAATAACTAATGTCCTTGGTCCTCTGTAGTCTACCTGGAGTCTCCTCTCCCACTGTAGCAGATCTTCCTCTTTACCTGTGGATATGTCTTTAATTTGGGAGATTTTTGAAGCTTATCTTAGGTATGGGCTTGAGACAAATCCCAGCAACCCAGCCTGGAACTCACACAGTGTTTCAGCATGCCTCTCTTGCAGCTTGGCTGGTGGCAGTTTCAGTAGACCACCTGGAGCCAGCCAGAGCCTTGCCCTGGGGTTACTCAGATTTGAAAATGCTAGTGTTATTTACTGTTCTCTTCCTAAACTTTCCAGCTGTATGACCTTGGGCAAATTAGTAAACTTCTCTGAGCGTCTAATTCTTCTGTAAGATTAAAGCTACAATTTGTTGAATACCTAATTCAATCTTATTAAATTGTCAACAACAACTCTGAATTAGGACACCTCCCTCCCTTTTACAACCAAAGTAAGTCTGATGTCAGGTAGATTAAATGACTTGCCCAAGGTCACATAGTTACTTAGAGTTAGACCCAAGATTCAAACCTGTTTTACTACAAAGCTCATTCGTTTTGTTCTGCCACTACCAAATGGAACTTATTGGTCTTGCCTTATGTGCTAATGAGGTTTGGAGATAATATATGTGAAGTATTAGTATCAATAAGGGGAGATATTGATAAGCATTCATTCATTCAACGAACCGAGTACTTTATTATATGCCAGCCCCTGTTTTGAGTACTGGGGCTACACAGTAGGAACCAAGACCAATAATGTCCGTGATCCTTTGTATCCTCCCTCTGGTGGTAGAAGCAGATCCTAAACAAATCCATAAACAAATGAGACAATATCAGCTGGTGCTTGGTGCCCAGAGAGTGGGTTAGAGAGTGACAAGAGCCACTTTAGGTTGAGTGAGGGTAGAAGGGTACAGAATGAGGTTGGTAGGCTGGCCAGTTTGCTCAGTTGGTTGGAGCATAGTGCTGGTAGCAGACACCAAAGATCCAGGGTTCGTTCTCTATGCCAGCCAGCTGAAAAAAAAAAAAAAAAAAAAAAACAAGAACAAAACAGAATGAGGTTGGTGAGGGTACGTAGCATCCAGGTCTTGTAGGGCACTGTGGGCAGAATAAATGGTTTAATATAGTGGAAAGGCATGGACTGCAGTCCTGCATCTACCACTTCAAAACTTACTTTAGTCCAACCTCTTAATCTTTCTGAACTTTAGTTTCCTTATATTTAAAATGGGAAATGGGGATGCTATTCCTCACCTGGCATAACGGCCATGAGGATGAAATGGGATGATGGAAGCTAAGCACCTAATATCATGCCTAATATGCAGTGGGCCTCAGTAAAGGAAAGCTGCCCTGCTTATTACTCCAAGGTCCTAGAAGAGCTGTACTACCATTAGAATAAGCTACTTGGTGCTGTTACAACCATGCCACACTCTGACCCTGTGCCTTTGTTCCATCTCAAATTACAGGTCACCAAAAACAATGACATCAACCCTGGGCCAGATTCCAATGCAAAGGCAATCAATTCAGAAAAACTCAACCACCTTAGAAGACTAGAGGTGTTTCTGCCCAGCAACCCAGGTTGGACCAGCCATGAGCCAGCTTCCTGTGACTATGGTCAGCCCTTGGCTCCCTCTTCCTCCTTTCTTACAGCAGGAGAATACATTGGCCTTAGGCGAGATTGGGCCAAGACACCCTCTGATTGGTCCAGGCAAATCTACTCCTGCTCCTCCTCTTTGGTACGGATCCTATAGGTCATGACAGGGGAGGCAGGGGTCTTAAGATGACTTGAGGTTTCACAGGGTTATAGTTTGGAGGATGGCTTTCCTCCTTCCCTGACCTCTCTGGGTCATATGTCCTAAAACTCCAGCACCTATCTTTGTTCTGAAGGTCAGTTTGGAGCCAGTCCTTGCAGCTAAAGAACAGAGCTCTCCCTGGGCTCTAGGCATCTCTGGTGAAATCCGGAGCTTTCATGCTAGACTCTGGCCAGGACGGGAAACAGCAGGTGGAAGTAGCTGCCACATGGGAGCTTGGAGCTGATGTGACACTCCCCTTCCCCCCCCCCAAAATGCAGGCTTTCCTAAGCCTTGGACCAGATACTGGCCAGTTATGCAGAACCAGTTGTGCAGGTTTCTGCCAACTGTAAAGTCTCCGCCTGGAGTAATGACACAGTCTTGGCAGAGCTTGCTAATCCTCCTGCCCTTTCTCCATAGTTCCTGAATGGTGCTAAGGATCTGCAGCAACTGGGGACAAGCTGGAGCTGGAGAAGGCCTCAGTACCCAGTAGGATCATGGGAAACTCCAATGGGAACCTTTAGTCTCTTCCATCAGAGGTTCTCTGACCCAGGGTCATGTGGGAAAGTCCCCCACATGGAATTTTCCTAGATAGTTCCGTGCCCTTAAAGGCAAACTGCCTCATGCCAGCCAGATGAGAGGTCATTGCTGCCCTTTGGCCCTACTAGCCCTCACCCTCCCCTTGTACAACAGACCACCCTACCCAAGTTGCTGTGGTGCTAGCCATCCCCCATCATGTATCAGGAGATTCTTGGGAACCAGAGAGCCAGATGGGGCCCCAGGGAGAGAAGTGGAGAGCTGATGCAGCTTTCTACAGTAAGGAAGCAGAAGTTCCCCAGGCCCCAAAACCAGATTTCTCTTACTCTGCTGTGTTTTATGGCCTGGGACTTACTGGGAGTGGATTTTTCCTTGTATCTTTCAAACAAGAATTCCAGGGAGTGTCACCATCAGAAGCCCCTCTTCATTGGGTCAAAGAAGCCCCTAGCTGCTCTTGTGGCCTCCCCCCCCATCCCATTACCTGTGAACAGCCCTTGTGTATTGTGTGTGGGTGTGTGTGCATGTGCTTATGCTCTGTCTCTTGGTCACTGAAATATCCAAATAAAGAATTTCTCCCATGAGCCAGACTGCAACTTAACAGACCTAGGGTTGGGGGCCATATTGCTATTGTATCTAGTATATCTACCTTGATCCCTCATTCCCACCCCACTCAGACCCCCAGGGCCTTCATTACTGATCTTAGTTGTTGAGACAGACAGACATCCAGATGATTTGGCAACCCTGTGAAAGTCTCTCAGGTGCCCTTAATTCAACACAGTCTCCTCCACTCATCCATCTCCCCAGTCACATAGGGCCTTGTGGAGGTCTTTGCAGGGTTTAAGCTGGGGATGTGTTTATGTTTGAGAGAATCATCCTAGCTGCTTTGTGAAGAAGAAATGCAGGGGAACAGGAAAGAAGACAGGGAGGCCAGTATGAAGGCTGTGTCCAATATGGCTTTCTCCTTCAATAGTCCAATAAGGCTAATCCCTTCAGGGTAGAGACCCAGCCTTATTCATTCCCACTTCCCTGATGTCCGGAATGATGTGTCATAAAGTGTTTATTGAATGAATGAATGGGGGTGCTATACGGAAAGGTGGCCTTTTCCTGCTTTGCTCTTAAACAGAGATAGGTTTGTTCTGTGGGACTTACCATAGGCCTGGTGATTCTCGGAAGAGCCTTTTCCATGACCCAGAAATGAGCTGGGAAAGGAGTGTTATGGCCTCAGGAGTCCTTTATACAGCTTCTGCAGACAGCCAGATCTGAGGAAGGTGCTCAGGCAGCCTCAGCTCCCATTCTGCACAGGCCCCAGAATTGGTTCTTGGCTTTCAGCTTCCCAAATTCAGAGTGCCTCAGCAACTTCCCCTTGAGTCCTTCTATGCCACCCAGTATGTCAGAATTGGCCCCATCTACTAGGAAGGGAAGTGAAAAGCGGAGGGGTGAGTAGGCTGCCATACCATGAGCCTTTGGCCTGCGGGACCTCTGAGTCTGGATTCAGGAGTCCCTGCCAGCCATGTGGCCAGCCCTGTTGGTGTGGGGACACAGAGATGAACACTTTCCTGCTCTTGGGAAGCTCAAACACCGTTAAAGATTATCACAACAGTCAGTCAGAAGATTGTACAGGGCCCTATGGGAATGCCCAGGATGCAGGAACTAACTCAGCCAAGGGTGTGAAAAAGGTGGAGAGGTTGGTTAGTTAACATTTGATTTGCATAACAACCTTTTGAGCTAGGTAATGATATTCCATATAGAGAAGGGACAAGGCTGAAAGAGGTATAGTGATTTGCCCAAGATCTTGTCTCTAAGAAGCAACGAAATGGAGAGTGGAATCAGATTTTCTAGACTCCTAGTCTAGAATCCTTTCCAAATAGAATCAGAGTTCCTCCCACGTGACACCTGCAGCCTGCCTCACCCATCTCATGGCAGTGCCATGGTCTCACAATGTGAGATGTGAGCAGCCATTCAGGGCAGGGGTAGTAGCAGCATTCACAAAACAAGTTGGAGAAGGCTCTGTATTTATTTTATATTCCAAGCCCCCCATTCCTCTCGTAATTTTACCAGATTATAACTAGAGTATTAGTATTAGAGTATTAGACGTTAGCTAAAAAGGAATTTATTAATTAACCTAATGAAAAATCCAAGCACAGTGATAGCTTGATCCAGGTTCTGACAGTGTCAACAGGAATAATTTTGTATCTCTCTGCTTTCTTTTGTGTGGACTCTTTCTTAGGCAAACTCAGTCCAAGAGGTGGCAAAATGGCCACTGGCAGCTCCGAAATTATGTCTTGATATATTAGCAACAATAGTAGAAAGAACATGTGTTTCAGCTAGTTCCAACAAATGTCCTGGGATTGAGTCATTAGCCAGTTTGGTCCTGTTCCCATGCCTAAACCAACCACTGTGGCTAGAGGAAATTGTGCTCTGATTTGGGGCCTAAAGGCTGGGAAGGAGTCATCTCCACCTAAAACAAATTGAGAAAGAGGGAGAGATGTGACCCCAAAAGAGGAAAATTTAGGGGTTCTTGCCAGATAAAGAGGGAGTAGATTGGAGAGGATAGATTGGGGGGACTCTGGGGGGGGCAAAAACAATTATTGTCCACCATACCCAGGAATTATTTTTATTTAACCATTTCCCTTTTTTCCCCCTAACTTTGTGAGATACAGCATACATTTAGTAGTGCACAGTAATTTTTAAAATATAGTTTGATGAGTCCTCATGTATATGTATACATCTGGGCAGTCACCATCCAGATCAAAATACAGAACATTGCCAGCTCCCCAGAAGGTTCCCTCATTCCCTTTCCTAATCAGTATTCCCCCAAAATAACCATTGTTTTGACCCTTACCACCATAGGTTAGTTTTGCTTGCTCTTAAACTTTATAAATATGGAATCATACATATATCCTCTTTTGCACAATATGTCTGTGAGATTTATCTATGTTATTGTATGCATCAGATGTTCATTTTTTTTCCATGCTATGTAGTAGTCCGTTGTTTGAATATGCCACTATTTAGCCCTTCTACTGTTGCTAGAAGATTGGATTGTTTCTGGTTTGGGGCTATTATCAATAAAGCTACTGTGAAAAATTCCATGTTGTTTGGTGCACATATGCACTCATACACTCAGCAGTGGAATCATAGGGGAGGTATATGTTTAGCTTGTTTAGATACTGTCAAGTGGTTTTCCAAAGTGGTTCTACCAACTTACATTCCCACCTGCAATGTATGGGAATTCCATTTGCTCTATGTCCTTGTCAACACTTGGAATTATTGGTCTTTTTAATTTTGGCCATTCTGTTGGCACCAAGAAATTTGAACCCAGGGGTCCTGGCTAGGGCAGGGCCCCTCTTACTCTTAGTGCTCCTAAGATCAGGTTTGAATTTCTCTGTCCTGGAATGGTCTCCAATATCAGTGCATAGGACCCACAATATAGCAGGTAGAGGGAGCTCCTGCTGTTGGTTCTAGTGGTCAGGGAAGGTCTCACAGAGGGGCATCAGCCCTGGAGAGGAGGTCTAGTGTAGTGGCAAGGATCTCAGGATCTGGGATCAGGCAGCCAGGGTTCAGATCCCAGCTCTGCCATTGCAGAACTGTGTGATCTTGTTTAGTTAACCTCCAGTTCAGAGTGAAACATTATTACCTACCTCATAGGGTTATTGCAAAAATTAAAAGAATAGATGTGGCATGGTGCTGATAACACCAAGGTCCACGGTTTAATCCCTGTACTAGCCAGCTGCCAAAAAAAAAACAAAACAGTATGGAATAAGTACAGTGCCTGACATGTAATAAATGCTGCAAAAACGATGGCTGTTGCTGTTTCTATTACTGGCCTGAAGTAAGCCCTGGATCCCCCTGGGGAGTCAAGCCACTGGCAGATGGCATCTGACATAGCCCCCGTATTAAGATTCACTGACTTATGAAATGCCAGAACTAATCCAATTTGAGGAGGAAAAAAAGGCAGCATATTTGTCAGAGATGGTTCTTCCCTGGGCTCCAACAAGAAGTCAACTTCCTCTGCTGAGGAACCCCAGTTTTTCCTAGGCCCCGCAGGCTCTACAGCCAATGACACCTGAGGGGAAGAAGAAATGAAATCACACATAAAATGGAATCAAGATGAAATGGAATCATGTTCATAGCCCAGAGCTAGATGCAAAGCAAGTGTTAGGGATGTAATAACCCCCCAGTGCAGACCCAGATCTGTACATGTACCTATATAGCAGCCATGAGTGACATGAAGGACACTGGCCTGTGATTCAGGGGCCCTGGATGTTGGTCTGAGCACCTCCTCCAGCTTCATGTGACCTGAGGCCTTGGTAATATCTGGGAAGTGGATATTGGAAGAAATCACAGTTCCCAGCTTGAGACCAAAAGAAGTAATCATGGGCAGTTACAGGTTCTTCCCAGAGAAGATCAAAAGTAAAGCCCCTGTCTCACAGCAGCCCCTACCAGATGAGTTGTTCCCACCCCACCCAGACCCTCTGATGGGCAGTCGGTAGTGTCAAGTATGATAGGAAAAACACTCTCGCTCTGTCCACCCACCTAACCCCACCTACTCAGCTCCGTGCCAAACCTGCATTACAGAGACAGGGCAGACATGTCCCTGTCCTTGCACTCTCAAGCTCACTGTCCATAAATGCTGCTTCATCTGTCTAGAAACTTCAAAAGGCAGAAGAAACCTTCCAGTCCTAGAAATGGGTAAACTGCACAGCACAGTGACCCCAATGGCCACTAGATGGAGAATGCTCCTTTTTTGCTGGGTGAGGTAGACCAGCCCCAGGACTTTAGAGTTTGATTTAATGCTGAAGAGAACAGGACAACTTTTTCTGAGCCCCTGTATTTGATATTTCCTTTACCATCAAGACAACTGGAGAAGGCTTATTATCACAGATTTCACAGGAGAATCTCAGGGGCACAGTCTTGTAGAGCTTACAAAACCATGACATAGCCTTGGAGAGATTTGACCCCATGCTCTTTTCTTAGCATTATCTGCTATCTCTGTTTCCCAATGCTGCCTTGCCCTTTCCTCAGGACATTTCCCTCAGGAGGACATCTCTCTTTGAGGGCTATCATTTAGTCACCTGCCTGGGAACACACCTAATGTCTGGCCTACTCAGCATCGTTTCTTTTACTCTTTTCCTTTGGAACATCTCTGCTCCATTCTCCATTCTCAAACTCTGAGGGAATGACCCACTGCCTGCTTCCAAGGGTGAGCCTCTTATCTGGGCCATCAGAATCTTAAGTCTGGAGCTATGAGTGGCCATCTTTGCCAACACATTAAGGACATTCTGCTCGAGAATTAAGCCAACACAGAAGAAAACAGCTGAGATGAGAAGAGACTGATTTCTGATTAATACCTGGAGCCAGTCATACCTGAAGCTAATATCTCCAGGACTTTTAGTTATGACTTTTCCTTAAGTCAGTTTGAGTTGGGTTTCTGTCACTTATAACCAAGAGTTCTGCCTAATACTTGCTCCAGCT